TGCTTCTCATATGACCTTCATCTACATAAACCTGAACATATTGTTTTTTTGTTATAAATGGTAATTAATCAGCCTTAATTTATTTGTAGTCTAGTTGGGTTTTCTAATAATTTTACTTCAAGTGTATTTGTGTCTAAATATACTGAAAGCTTATTATAACAAGGTACATTCATTAATAGATAAATAAATTATTTACGCAAATTATTTTTTTTATTATAAATAGTAATTAATCAGCCTTAATTTATTTGTAGCCCTATTTGGTCTAAATATACTGAAAGCTTATTAACGGGAAAATTTGGATCTTCCACAGCACAACCCTCCATTTTTGTTGAACCTACACGTAACGATGGTGATGACTATGATGATAGCAAAAAAAGTGGAAGAAGTGCTTTTTGGAACCGGTGCAAGGCCCTTATTACATGACCAATAAACTTTTAAATTTGCTCAGTCTGTACAAAATTATAATAATAATTTTCTTGGTAGTACTTACCGAAGAGGAAGAGATTACTCGAAATATTGTTAGGGCGAAATTATTTCGTATGATCGTGAGCATCAATGGAAAGAACCTTAATTATCCAAAGAACTGTGAAAAATCACTCCTCTAAGTTTGTTTATTTACTGCATTGTTATATATTATGTAGTAAGATGTTATTTAAGGCGCTATTATTATATTGCAATTTAGTCATGTGTGCGCAGATGGTTTACTGCGAGTCATTTTGAATATTTTATTTCACGAAATAAGTTCGAAAGATCACACAAGAAAAGTTTGTGAAAATTGTCGCATTTGAGGGAGCTAGTATTATTTATAAATGCTTGTTAAATTTCAAAGAAATTGTATTATATAGATACTACATTTATTTATCAAGTGTATTAGAAAATTATGATATTTGTAAATTTCTAAATGATGCAAACTTGTCTAAAAACTAGTAAACAAAGGAATTTATAAAATTAACAATTAACAACAATGTCATAATCTGGTACCACTGTAACATAATCATTCACTTCTACAAAATTATCATCCAATTCCCAATCCAAATTGTTGTTTATACCCACATAATTCAGGGTTCCTTTTCGTTTGCAGAATTTGATTATCGCTTTGGCATTTTTCATCTTATCAATGCTATGAATTAACAATTTTTTTAAAGGAGCATAGCAATGCTTGAGTAAAATATCAATGTATGAATTTAAACAATACTTTCGTATGTCAAGGTATTGTAGTGATAACGGCAATATTCTTGCAAACAGTATAACTCGTTCTTCATCCGATATTTCATCAATACTCCATGAATACCATAACGTGAGAAATTGAAGTCTTTGTAAATTACTAATAAGATCTAAAAGTTGTGTGGAAAACTCGATATCGGAAATGTTGAGATATGTAATGTTTGGGCAGAAGGATTTAAGTGCTTCTAGTAATAAAGATTGTTCTCTAATAAGTCCATCGCTTGCTTCAAGTTTTAGTCGTTGAAGTAATCTGCCAGAACTTTCAAAAAATAATATCAGTGGCATTGCATCAATCGCGCAATTAGCTAACTCTAAAGTGTTGACTTTATAGTCCAACTTTTTCAACAGTTTCCTATAATTGCAATACTTGATACGAAGAACTTCTAAATTTTCACAATTCATCAGCATCTTGAACTCTGCACTATAATCACAGCCATCTACTATAATTTCCCGTAATGATCGTTTTTGACTCTCTAAAGCTGAAATAATACCGTGAAATTCATTAGGAAATTCACCACTAGACACGGTAAATTCCCTAAGTTGTTTTTGTGATTTAATAATGCATACAATTGTATGAAATACTTGAGGATCATAATTGGGATAAAAGTCTTCAAGTTGCAAAGCATTAAGTTTTGTAGAATTTTTTGCAAAGAATTTTAATAATGTAATAGCAATTTTGGTATTGATTTCCGATATTTCACCCAAATACAAAGTCAAATCTTGGATTCGTGAGAGAAATTGATCGTTTCGTTCTAATAATTTGAAGATCTCAGGCTTAATTTCCCTAACTTCATCAAAATCTATATTTAATATGTGCAAAGTGGCGCCACTCTCAATAAATAATTTAAGTAATAAATTACTTATGTGATATATCAATGGGCCATGATATGGTTTTGAAGAAAGATGCGATTCGATCCATGTTTTAACGTTACTTTTTAGATGAAATAAACTGAGAACCTTTAGAAATCTTGCATAATCAAATAGAGTTTTTGAAAATTCTACATTTATTCCATGATTTTTTAAAATGATTTTCTCATCCTCATCAAGAGACGAAAAATATTTAGGAATATATGATGTATTAGGAATACATTGTTTGTGTTCAACATATTCAAATGGATCTTGCCAAATAATAGGGATTGATATTTTGCACCAATGTCGGCTCACAATAGCGCACGAGTATAAGGAATAAGTATCATCATTTAAGTTTTTAAGAATGATTCCCATTAATTCGGGCATATCACCAGTAAATATTTTTGATGCCATGAATTAGTTTTGTGTTGATGAGGATCGTAGTTTTGTGTTGAGGATTTTTTTTAGAAATTTTTATGTTTGTGTACTGTATAAATATAGAATTGGCTACGTAATTATTGTCTCATGTGATCATTTGATGATTAGTCGGAAACAAGCTCGTAAATTTTGAGTAATTACGTACTGTAGTAATTACAGTGATCAAACTCAAACCCGAATGGCAAAAAATCATTTATGTATCTATCACTACAGTAAGGAGACCGAACAATTATTATACATTAATGGCAAATTTATTTGTTTGAGCTAAAACTACGGCGCCACTGCCCATTGTTTAAAGTGTCTTCCTTGATGCTCTAGAAATTCGAAATTAACTACGTATATTAAACAATTGCTATAAATAACGAATAGAACTTCCAGATTTTACTGCAGTTTTTTTAACAATTAAGCCGATTTTCTAACCAATTAAATTTTAATATAATGTGAATCAGTAACGATGCTTTTCAAATTGCCACTATTTCAATAGGTAGTTTTAGCCCTGGTTTGGGATTTGTAGTTTATGCAAATTAATAGAAATGACGTAATCTTTATTTAGAGTTTGTTCGACAATTCTAATCATATACCTAGACGTAATGACATCATCTAAACTGAATATTCTTTTTACTATATATTGATACAGAAGCTTAATTTTGTTTAATAAAAAATATGATATATATATATATATATATTTATATAGTAAAATTAGAATTATTAATAGATAGGATTTAGGCTTTTATGCCACCAGTACAGTCTAAACTTCAATATAATTGCCAATTATATAATGCTGTAATAACCGGACAAACCCCTGAAAAAAGTTGATTAGCAGTATGATAATATGTTCAATTAAACCGGTTAACTACCTTGAAAATCAAATGTATTTAATATATCAAACTACTAGGGCTAGTTCAATTTATTGTTATTCTGGTACGTACGTTACGTATATAATTGGTTTTTTTTTTTATTTTTATTCTTTTATTTGCGTTGATTAGGTGAGCATAAAAAAACTTATTATCCAATTGTCTAAAATAGACTATTCAAGCTCATGAATATTCGCAGAATATTTAATATTAATAAACTTAAAAGTAATGACATTCATAAAATTTAAATGCTATTTTAAATTTGTTAATAAATTGTGAGGTCTAATAATTAAGGCTACAGCCTAAAAATATCATCATTTATTTAGAATTACTGGCTACAGCCTAAAAATATCATAATTTATCTAGAAATTACTTGAAACACTTCATAATCCTCAATTTGTTTGCCATTTGGAATGCTAAGATTGGGATAATATCCAATACTATTAGTATTTACGCATTTTTCATTAATATGCAATTCTCCACCAAAATTTGGACCATTACTACTATTGCAACATATTGCGTAAGAATAATAAGATGATAAAATGCGTCCTAATTTGACATTTGTTAAATTAGTAGAGTCATTTAATGAAAAGATAAAACTACAATTTGAGTACTTATTTTGGCCACTTGTATCCCAATCGACTGGATTGTAACCACCAACAAGTTGATTTGAATTTTGAATCTTTGCCACAACAATTGTTGCACCTTTTTGGTCACATCTTTGATGAAATATATTATTTTGAAAACCATCTCTGCTGCCACGAAATAGAAGAATAAATTTATAAGGTAGCGTTCTTTTATAATCATTATCATCAATCCAACTTGCAAATAATCGTGCATGGGTTATGTCAATTAAAACTGAGTCAAATTTATATCTAGAAGGAAATGCATTATAAAGAGGTACTGCTTTTGGAATCATATAACAACGTAAAATGTCATCAAATAAGTTATTTGGAAGAATAGACATATATGGTAATACTTTATGATAAAAATCTGGCATGCTAATTTCATGAAATCTAATATATTGAATGCATCCTTGCAAAGTTTTCTCTAATAAATTAAAATCGTCTTGATTAAATTCAGTCACATCGCTCTTAAGTTCAGTGTTCTGTGCAATTCCCCATTTGATTAATCGATCCCAAATTTCACTTTCTTCCATTTCAAGTCTGTCATTTTTAAGAATTAATACTAACACATCTTCATCCAATGAAAGGTACTTATTATTTGTACCAAATAGAATGTCAGGATTTGCACAAATGATTTTTAAAGAAAACTTTAAAATCTCATTAAAGGTTTCATGACGAGCAGCAATATGAAGCGTTCCTACAGGATTTTGTTGTAAAAAATTTTTCTGATTTTCAACAAAATATTGTTGAATATGATCAATAAGTTTTGTAAGACCAAATTCATCCGAAGCAACCAAAAGATCCAAAATTGTCTCTCCTTCTTGATCAGAAATATTTACTTCACCACAATATAAAAATCTATTGATAACGTTATTGTTAACATAAATGGTACGATTATTTTTAATATTATACACCATTATAATAATTTGATTCACTACTTACTTTAGAATAAGTTCAAAAATTGATGAAGAGATATTAGGTTTCTTAAATATGAAGCTACCACTATCTTTGTCTTTCGTTTCCCAACCAGAAGCAAGAGCCCCACGAAAATAAGCAGATCTAGTACGAAGGACCAAAGAGTGTGCATGGATTTCTTCGGCATTGGGCTCTTCACCGGCGTGAATAATCACATCATAATTTTCCCTAGTTTCATAAAGCAGTTTATAATCTTCAGCTATGTCGATAAGAAACTTGGTGCTCATCGTATAAAATTTAATGGTAAATGAATAGAAAAAGATGTATGAATAAAAAATTTTATTGTTTGAGCGTAGCAAAGAACGCTTTATAGTTAAGTGAAGTGACACCAAAATACATTTTTAAAACCAACTATTTTTCCATTGATGCTAAAAATATTAATCTCTTCTATTGTAGCGAAGGAATCCCAAAGTTTCATTTACGATCTTATCATTGATGCCTAAAATATCAAGATCTGTTCTCATGTGTGTAACAAAAAAAATGCGTAATATGAAATTATATATGTAACTCCAAACACAACGATTTTGTCATACACATTCTTTATAATCTGGTTCAAACATTTCATACTCGTATAGAATTGTCTTTCACAAAGTTAACCAAACTTTTCATTCAGCTCATGAATACAAACACGCAATAAAGACATCATTATTGTTATACTACATAAAAAATAATTCCTCTTTGTCGTTTTATGACTGGTTTCAACACGATAAAGTCACGCAGGTACTCATAAATTTGTGTTGTTAATATATGAGTTGCTCATTTTAGGATTGTTAATTCTCTGTTTATATCATAACTTACGTATATAAAAACAATTGCTTATCTTGTAGTGTACAAACAATAAGATTGAGTTTTACAATTTATTTTTATTTATAATTGAAATGTCAACCTAAATAATTAAAAAAAAAAGAGTAATTAGAAATTTATTGTTTGAGAATAGCGAAGGACTTTGTAGTTAAGTGACACCGAAGTAACATTTTTGAAATGAATGAAAGGACAATGCCTTTCTGATTTTGACAGAAGCAAGCAGCTCGTAGTGTATTAATTTAACTTAATCCACTGCAAACACCATGGTAAATTTTAAAGAACAATACACTTTTAAACAGGAAGTTTCAAATATTAGAATCGTAGTAAAAGCGAAAAAGCAGCTGTTGTCAAAATGGGAGTAGTTACTGGTTTTGATATTAGATAACTTTCAATTCTATTGCTTCACGATTTAGCAATCAGATGGAAATGTAATATTAAAAGCGACGCTATCACACTAGTGTACAACCGGGGTTAAATCACCACCAAAAAATTCAGATCATGTGATTTAATAAATCGCGATATATCAATTACATCAGTCACAAGATACTTATTAATGAAATTTTCATAAAAATAGTAAAAACGAGTGTATATTTTATTTTTTTGAATATATGAATAATGTAAATCACATGATCTGAAATTTTTTTGGGTGGCGATTTAACTTCGGTTCTAGTGTACGTATTCGGGAAAATTTTCTGCGTAGTAGTGTGCACCAATCAAATTATAGACAAAATGATTGCATCATGTACGTTGTGAGGATGAAAAGTCGTCCGGGATGACGTCGAAGTGGTGCGAGTCGATTTAACAAAATCGGGTAAAAAGCCACCATAGATGACAGATATGACAGCTATGGCTAGTGATGTGCCATTAGGGTGTGCAACGGCCTATAAACCCCTGTAGATCACCCACAAAAAATTTTGCCAGCACGTGACTAAGCCATTCTACTATGACATGAACTAATTTCTATTAACGTTGAGGCTAACGTTGACATCAACGTTCACCTCAACGTTCACGTCAACGTTGACCTCAACGTTAACCTCAACATTACTATACTTATAACAAAAGTTGTAGAGTTTATTTTTTGGTTAAAATAAGTTCTAAATAAAGTTTATAAACCTTATATTACTCTTTTAAAATTTTTTTTTTAAAATTTTCTTCTTTATCTTCAAAATTTTTTCTATGCATGTCTTTTGTATAACTATTTATTATTTTCTTAACTAGTCTGACTATTATACAAATCAATTTTACTTTATAAAACACTTGTACAAATGTGCATTACATGCCAATTTAACACAAATTTATTATTTATTAATAGTATATAACTATATTACACAACTACAAATTACTGCAAATCTTTACTTTACAACAAGCTAATCTAAAAATATCAAATTTTTATCATATCTAATATAAATTTTACTATCTAAACTATTTAAATTTACTACAATTAACTTTACTTTAAATTATTAGTTATTTATATTAATTTATTTTATATTTATTTTATACTTATCAACCAATATACAAATTTATACTACTACTATACTTTTTTTTTTATCACTCTACACAATTATTACATTTATTCTCACATTTTTTATATTACATTTTCTCACTTATCATCTCTTTTTTATCATATTTTCTACAAGTTTTTCTTTCTATATCTATAATTTATCTAACAAAAATCAACCATATCTTAAGATTTTACTAAAAAATCTTACTTGATCTTATAATAGAATTTATTCCTGAGATCAAAATATACATAATGCTAAAATCTTAAATTTAAATTATTTAGATAATTAACAAAAGTTTTATCTTTTAAATCATATATTTTAATATACAAATTTGTATACTTAAATTTTTAGAAAAAAATTAAAATATAAAAAAATATTTTTAGCAAAATCTTTATTCTAATTAGTTATAGTAACTTTCAGAAATCTATGTCATATAGTATACTTTATAGTTATAGCAATAGTATACTTCATGTAGCCTAAACAAAAGAAATTTTCATTTGATAGTTATGAAGTATATTTTGTAACCCAAACTTTGAGCTGCTGTATATCTATAGCATTGTCTCAAAAATCAATAATATAAAATTAATTATGAAGAATCTTTAATTAACTTTAATATTATATTATAAAAGAAACCTGTATGTGATGATTGTAAAAAATTTTTATAAGTTTTATATACAGGTTTCTTTTTTAGTATTAAATTTAAACATCAAAGTTCTATTACAATCTTATTATGATCTATATTAAATACCTAATTCCTGAAATATTATAAAAAAAATAAAAAATAGATATTATATAGTATTCAATATATAGAATGTTTTTATTTTAGCTTAGAAAGTAGGGTATTGTTTAATAAAATTTTGAATAATAGATCTTTAAAAATTTAAGTGTACAAATATGTACACTATATGGTTTAAGGGTTATAACTTAAATTAATTTTCAAATTTTGTTTATAATTCATCTAATAAAAATTGGCTATATCTCAAAATTTTACTAAGCAAATCTTAATTGACCTTATAATAATAAAATTTTAAAATTGTATCTTTTAAACTTATCAAAATAATTAACAAAATATTTTATACAATCTAAATTAATTCTCAAATTCTGTCTATATTTATCTAATAAAAAATTATCTATATCTCAAGATTTTACTAAATAAATCTTATCTGATCTCATAATAGGATTTGTTTCTAAAACTAAAATATATATAATATTAAAATCTTAGAGTTGTATCTTTTATACTAATCAAAAAAATTAACAAAAAGTTTTATATAGCCTAAATTAATCTTCAAATTTGTATAACAAAAAATATACTATATCTTAAAAATACTATCTACTATCTTATAATATGTCTTAACCAAATATTTTAATATTATATTCTTATTACCAGTTTATTACTCATTAGTTTTCTAGTAGTAACTCCTCTAATATAAATTTGAACTAACCTCTTAATTGACTTTAATATTTTCTAGTTCTAACAACTAATAATCTTTTTTTATTTACTCAGTTAACAATTCAAACAATAAACTTCTTAAAGCTTTTCTTAAAAATTTTTATTCAGGTTCAATTACCCAGTTTGCAACAACTAATAAATTTGCTTTTAAAAATAATTTTGATCAGGTGTATCTGTATTTGTATTTTTAATTTGGTTGATATAAAAAAAGGTAAATAAATAAATTAATTTAAGTTTTAAATCTTGAAAAAATTTTGGTAATCAATAGTTTGGTATTGATTAGTAAGAAAAAGGTGAAGTTTGGACAAATTGATAATAATTTAAAATTATTTTTTAATAGAGTAAGAAGAAATAAAAGATAAAAGTTAAATATTTTTAAGTAATTGGAGTGTTAAAAAAGTACAGTAATAAATACTAGAGGATTTTTTAAAAGTTTTGAGAATAATATTAAAAAGAATATTCATTGGTTGAGTAACTTGAGAGTTTTGATTTGAATAAAATCAATAATAAATTTAGATTTTCAAAAAGCTATTGTATGAATTAAAAGATCATCTATATTTTAAATTTACAACAACTCTAAATTTTATATTAATATTTCTATAAATATATCTATATAAAAATTTTTAACAAAACAAATATGGTACTCTTTTCATAAATTATTTACATAAAACAAACTCTAAAAACTTCAAAACAGAAATAACTATAACTTTTTGAAATACTAAGCAAACCTACTTTGGTGCTCTAAGTAAACTTGCTCTGCTATTTATTTAATATATATTACAAATATTTTAAAATGTCAACTTGCAAACTCATTAAATTATTTATAAAAACCTTAGTTTTCACTTAAGACAAATTTGTTTTACTCATCAAGATGAATATTTTGATATATATATATTTTTTTTTGGTATTAAGGTGAGGCCTTGCTTGTATCTTTATTAATAGTTTTTGTCATAGTAACTATAAAGAGTTGCTAACCTTAATATATAAAATATAAAAAGTAAAACCTACATGTAAGAATAAAAGCTCAGACTACTTTATCTGCAACCTAAACCTACTAGAGTGGTCAAAGACTCACCTAGATTTTTTTAAGAAAGAAAAAATAAA